CCTTCTCCAAGGAAATAAAGAGCATCTGAGGACTAACAGAATTTTCCATCAAGCCAGAGATCTGCATTACAACACTTCTGTCTCCATTGTTCTAACCTGTTGGATAAAGTAATAGTTGTAGTCTCCTACACCCGCTTATGCCAGTGATCCCAGGCACTGAGTCCCCATACATGTAGATTAAATGGCACTCGCCTGCTCCATCCTAATGGCTCTTATATGCTTACCTATCTGTTGCCTGTGTAGTGCATCCCTCAACAACATGCGTCATGTGCAGAAGGCAACTTTGTAGAGCTGTTCCCTTTCTCCACAAAATAAGCTGAGAAGGCCCATAAAGAAGCCATCTATTCTGAGGTGAATTGCATTTTCAACACACAAGGCTGAACATGATATGGAAGCAAGTACCCTTTGCTATCCTGCCAAATGCACCAAGATGCAATTCTGCTAGGCATGGGAAATCCTCATCATATTCTCAGTTCAGTAAGGTTTGAGGGCAGCCAAAATGTTTCATACCTCAGCAAAACTGAGCCTTTGAGAAGTTATTGCCAGTAACAGATGAGGTATCTTACCAAATCAGTTTATTTACCCTCATTTTTAAGTGGTTTTGGAAAATAGTTTTGAGCTAACTGCTTGTATTTTTCAGGATGCAGAATTAAAATGTATGTTTTAAATGATACCCTATTTTGCTTCTGATTTATTGCAGCAGCTTTTAAAATTGTGTACCAATACTTCATGATGATAGAACCAGCACATTATTTTGGGTGATCAGACCAGAATGTTACAATATCAGAATCTTGCAACAGCAAATGTTAAAAAAAGTAAGATGACACCTCCTGACCCAAATCAACAATTTAATTTGCAAATTATTTATTTATACTTTTTAAGTTTCAAAATAGATCCTCTATCTTCCTGCTTATATGGAAGAATAGTAAGAGCTTGATGTGTGGAGTGACCAAAGTGTTGGCTTTTTTTTCTTGCAAATTTAAAAAAACATGAAGATTGAGGTTTAAGTGAAGAATTAATCGTGCATAGAATAGAGGAAAAGAATGGAATCCTCTGACAGTTTGATTTGTTGTTAAAAACCAGTTTCTTTTTAAATAAATGATGATCTGAGCTTGGCCAAATTCTACAAAGATGCTAAGGCTTGAAAAATATTTAATACAATATGGGTGCATGTACACGTCATCCTACATCACTGTAGTGATGCACTACATCACCGTAGGGTACACTACAGCAACGTAGTGATCATGTGAGTCTACACTTGATCAGCAGCTATGTTGCCATAGTGACGCACTCCCCCTTTTTAGCATGCTGCTATCGCAACATAGCATTGAAACCTAACTGTGCGCCACGCACACAGCACAGTGCAGGCGGTTACTGTGCCATGCTATAGTACTTCCAAAAGGAAGTACTAAAGCATTGTGCCATAGCAACATTACCGTATGGCAACATGTAGACATGCCATATGAGGAGTAATGGAGAGACAGCATTCATCCAAACATGGCTTATCAGTGAAAAGAAACTCCTAGCCAGTAAAGCACTTAAGTATGCACACTGTTAAGTAGTCCCATTAAAGTCTTATGTGGCTGAAATAAAGAAATGTGATACAGCTGAAAATGCATTGTAGGGCAAAGAGGGCTACTAGCAGAGAAGCAATCTAGATGTCCCTGTGCTAATGTAGACAATGGTGAGGGAGGTAGAAAAAGAAGTGCTGAGGCAGAAGTCATCCCATCTCCATTAATGAATAGCTAGAACCAATCATACCTGAACTGCTTGAAGGGTCTTCTGCTACTTTTCTAGCATAAAATATAAACCAGTAGCTTCCCAGGGGAAGCATAGCTGCCAATACCCTAACCCTTGGTTATGTAGCAGGCTTACCTTTTCAGCGCTTAGGTTGAGTCCCAGAATCAAGTGTCTGCTGTTTGATTGGTGGAGCCCACCCACCAGTCCAGAGGCAGCACAAAGGCAGCAATGCCCCCCCCCTTTTCTGAAGGGGGGGGCAAGGAGCAACTGAACCTGAATCAGAACTGCACCAGCCAGATCCGGAGATCTTCACGGGTGGAACCCCTAAAGAGTATAAAAGGGGAACGTGCTTAGCAGGCTAGGGAGAGACGACAAGGGATGGCAAGGAGAGAGGAACTCCAGAGAAAGCCATCCTCAGGACCCTGCTTGAGCTTCAGTGGTATGCAAATTGGCACATGGGGATCAGGCTCTAGGAGCCACTTGAGGAGGCTTGAGCCTGAGAGCCCAGCAAGCGGCTGGGCAGTCAATGTGCAGATCGGCACACAGAGAGATGGCCCTGGGAGCAGCTCGAGGCTGCTCAGGCCCCACACGATGCACAGGTCAGCACACAGAGAGTCAGCCCTGGGAGCAGCTTGAGGCTGCTCAAGTTAACCCCGCCTCTATAACCAGAGCCCATCAGTGTGGCTCAGCATTAAACTAAATGAGCCTTGGTGCCCAGAGCAGGGCCCAGGAAGGGGAAAGACCCCTGGCATGAGGCTAGGGAACCAGAACCAGTGAAGGCTTGGCACCCATAGGAGCTCCCTGGGTGCCCAAAACGGGGCCCAGGGCCCAGAGGGAAAAACCCTCAACTTGAGGCCAATGGCTCCAGGAGGCCTGAGACAGTGTGGGGACCCAGAGGCCAAATCAACAGCCCCAGAGGAAGGATCATGAGTTACCGGGAACCCAGGTCCCACAAGGGAGGTGCCCCCGGGCAAGGGACCTCAGGGGGAGTGGGCCTGGGGGGAGAAGACCCTATCCCATTTGAGGGACCAAGTGGTTGGAACCCAGAAAGGGTGCATCTAATATGTGGTATAGTTATGGTTTTTATTTGGTATCTATTGTTATTGTTGGTGTTATAAATAGTTGGGTGTATTAATTCTGTATAATGGGCTCTGTAAGGATGTCTTTATTAGCTAACCCACTTGTGATATAAACTTGCTGGATTGACAGTCCTGGGATCCACCCCTCTTCTGCGCCTGAGGCACAGATACTTACCCGAATGCCCTCCCTAGTGCCAACTTCCTCCAGCTAACAGACTTTTATATGTATATTTGTATTTATATCTGTAATTTTATCTATCTTAAAGGGTTTTATATATATATGTTGGTAACTCAATAAATTGTATGTAGTTAAGAACTTTGGGCTTAGGCAAACTTTAGAGGAAAGAGGGATCTGCTCGAAATTCTGGCATCCCTCTCACAGCACCCCCCTCCTGCCTACCCATCCCATTCGACTGAGAATAGTGCACACCATTGGGTGTACCCGGGTTAAATTTATGACACTAGATTTTGTTACCTCTGCTTCATGTACTTAATCCATGTAAAAGTTATTATCTGATTGCCATACAGGTAAAAGAGATTTTATCCAAAATGAAGGATTTTTATGGGATAGGCCTTTTACATTAAATTTCCTCCTTTAAATATCCTCTTCTCTCCACCTAAAAACACAATAAAATTACATATTAAACTCAGGCTTATTGCATCAGTTAATCATACAGCTAAATAAAAATGTTAGTGTTCTGTGACTGGCAGTAAATAAAATAATAGTTTGCTATCTCTGATTTCTATGTATGTCCTCAATCATATAGAATGGCTATTGAGTGAAAGACGCAATAAGAGACTGTGATTATATTCAGAAAAACTATTGCAAAGATATTACAGGTTAGCTTTCCTTTATTACTAAAGAGAGCTTAAAAATTCAATCCTTACCTATAAGAAAGTATTGTACATCTCAAAATCATATATATTATCCAGGTTGTAGGGAAAAAAATCTTGTTAGAGTTCAGTAACTGCTGTTATCACTGGTGGCATGCCTGATGCTTTTATCTGGGAAAATTATGGGAATTTTGCTTAAATTACAGTAAAAGATGACAACATGGTCCCTGTAAAAAGCCTGAATAAATTTGCATGGAAAAACATCTCACGCACTGGGGAGAGGAATCCTATCCTGAATCCCTAATCAGTTTTATTCTATACTTTGTCATTTCTAGTTTCCTGTTTTAAATCGTCTCATTTTTCCTGTGGTACTTTCATTATTTTCAGTTTGCTTTATTTTCTCATGTCATAATGGATTCTACCCCAAGATACTTGTTCTAGTTGACTCTCTCAGGCAGCCAGAACAAAGTAGGTTTAGTCTTTCTAGACTTTCACCCATTACCTCAGTATACTTTATTGTAAGTAGACCACTAACAGCTCTTCAGTTCAATGACCTTGCAAGATTAACTTTGCTTTTGCCATACAAAATTTGGTGGGTCTCTGCGCCTTTCCAATTATTTACCTGCATGTTTCTCTTAATGTTTCCATATTAAACATGCGGCTGGCCTATTTCTGCCTCAGGATGACATGCATGTTCTCTTTCAAGGAAGGAAAAATACTGCAACAATCTTTCAGAAGTTACTATTTGTAAGATATGTCACTTGTTTTCCTAGCTTTTCTTCCCTTTCTCCATATTGAATTCTCAGAAACAGGTTTAGATTACCCAGGTGGCAACATTTCCATCTACTTTGTATTTCTCTGGGTTTGATATCTCTACTATTTTTTGTTCTTAATCATGGGACTACTTGTACCTTTTATTTGTTTTTCTCATCATTCAAGGTTATTGGCTTTCCTGGATGTGTACAAATTGGAACAAGATAAAGACCCCAGCATTTAGAGTGTTTGCCTTTTTGAGCCGTCAGAAAATTAGACTAACAATTATCTAATTATGGAGTTGTTATATTGTGTTAGTCTCTTTTTGTATGTGCTATCATCTTCTTTCATTGATCTCTATAATGGCAATTAATAATAGCCGATGTTCCTGAATCTGCTCTAGAATGGCAGCATGCACTAGCATTAACAAATATAATGTATAGTACATAATGTATATTTTTGAGAGACAGTAAAAAGCATTGAAAAAGCTTTTCTTCTGGGAAAACAATGTAATATTATAATGCTGAAAAGATTTTAATGAATGTAACTTCTCTATAAGCCAGTTCATTATTGCTTTTTGTGTTCTTTCCTCAGTGGTTATGTCTTTGATTATGATTACTACAGAGATGATTTCTACAATCGGTACGTGAGATTCTGTTTTTATATTTCCTACACAATTTTTATTGTTTAATTATAATGCTGTCACATTTTGGTTAGAGTTTATTTTTTGTTGTTGTTTAGATTATTCATATTTAATTGTCTTTATTATGCACTGAACAGTAGACTCTTAGAATAGCATACATTAGGGGATGTGATTTACAGAAAACCTTGAATTCCACTCTATCACCGCACAACCTCTGCTTGTTAAGCAGTTCTTTTGGTACCCTCTCCCTATTTGACACCTTTTTGAGTTTTTTCTTTACTGGAAGATTAAAGGATATGAAAAGAAAAACCCATGGTTTTTTATTCCTGCAGAGTTCCTTCCCAGCATGATTTCATCGAATACATAGTAGGTGTAGAGTTTCCTTAGATATAACAGTTTGATAAAGTGTTTTTCATGATGTTTATATGTATGAAAAGATGTGGAATGTCTCCTGAAAAATGTAATCTTTAGGCATCCCCCTGGAAAGCTGAAGAGATTTGTTATCTGCCATCACATAACTATATGCATATGTTACTTTGATGCAGCTGCCACAGCAGTATAGATTCAGATAGTACATGCAAAACAGAGAAGATGGGTCATTTGTTATGATTCCTTGCAAAGAGGAACAGCTAAGTAGGGCAAGGAAGTTACTTTTGCAGTCTTGGCACCCTCTATATTTTTTTCTTGATCAAAGGTCTCCCCTTGCCAAAGTATAAGTCAGAACAACATTAAGGGGCTACTCTCATTCTTGGCCCTCTAAAACAGCTGCCTGGTAGACACTGATTCAGGATAGCCAGAGGTCACGATTCTCTGGTCACTTCCTTTCCTTCTTACCTAGAAACAAGAATTTTCATTCATTATGTTTCCTTTGGAGTCATTTGGAACATCCAAAGGAGGTTAAAGTGTTTGGCCACAGGCTTGTGTGTCTTTCTGGAACTGATGTCAGATAAGTTTCCATTCATTCTTTCACATATGGATTGCCCCATCTGTCCAATGTAGACAGCATATGGGTGCTGTATGGCATATATCACATTGGTAAAGGAATACGTGAATTAAACCCAGATGTTATCTCTGTTTTTTTGGTCCAGTCGTGATGTGGTCTGTGTTGATGCAGGGGAATAGCTAGCATTTGGGTCTGTTGTAAAGATTGGTGGTTGGTGAGAATAGGAGTTGGGAAGTCTGTTGGTGAAGAAATGTTGTTTGAGGTTGGGGGGCTGCCTGTAAGTCAGGACAGGTTTATTCCCCAAGGCTGCCCTAAGTTGGTCATTGTCCAGGATGGATTGCTGTTCAAAGATCAGACCCATGATCCATAGGTTGCCAACCTCTGGGGTTGGATAGCGTAATGATGCACCCCTTGCTCCATTCTGCCATCCTCTCCCCTTAGGCAGTGCCCCGGACTCATTCTTCCCTCACCTACCCATTGTTTAAGTACTGCTTTTGACCTAGACTTGTGCTCTAAACAGATAGGATGGTAGGAGAGTACTGCTGGAAGTGATATAATGACGTTGTCTCATCCACACCCCTGCTCAAGGCATGATTGTCTCTGACTAGACTATCCCAGACAAGTATCTGTCCAACCTGCTCTTGAAAATTTCCAAGGACAGAGATGCAGGAGAGTGATCTAACCAAGAGAGAATGTAATCCTTGCTGTGGGCAGATATTACTTTTAAAACATGTTAAAAGGGGTGGTAGTGTTACTACTTGGGAGCAATCACCATCTGTTAAAAAGTAACTCTTATGTCTGCATGGCCCTATAGTTATGGGGCTACCAAACTTGAGAAGGCAGCCAGTCACTTTCACAGCCAGATCCCAGGGCCAGCCTCCATTTTCATGGGCTGAATGTGACAGAGCCTCCCCATGCATCTAATTGGCTGAAGGGCTGCCGGAAGTCTCACCCCTCCCCACAGATTGCTAAATGCCTGACACCTCACCTTAATTACCCTGATTAAGTGGTATTAAGCCTGGATTAATGGCTTCCCTGGGTTTAATCAGGGTAATTAAGCCATAGTTTCGGACCATTCCCAACTAGGGAGGCTGCAAGCAGCTGCACTGCAGTACCAGGCCATCTCTGGCAGGCAGCCGGAAGGCTGCAAGCAGCTACACCGGGGTCCATGAAGCCCCAGCCCGGCTCATTGCACATGTACGTCTGCTGCAGGCAATGAGCTGGGCCAGGGCTCTGTGAACCCTGGTGCAGCTGCTTGCAGCCTCCCAGATGCCTGCCACAGCTGGCCTGGACCCCAGTGCATCTGCCTGCAGCCTCCCTGCCTTCTGGTGTGAGCATCCCTGCCCCCATGCTCCAAGACTGCATGGCTTCCTGCCCTTTTCTCTGCTAGCTGGTAGGTTTGGGGTTTTTTGGTTGTTTTTTTGTTGTTGTTTTTTTTTGGGGGGGGGGTTCAGTCAGCCCACCATTTTTTACCAAGCCCACCCTTTCTTGCGGAGCCTGTCTGATTTCATGTTTTCCGCAAAAATCACACAAGTACGAATTCAGTAGGTCCCTACCTATAGTGGTATAGTAGCACTAAATTAATAACTTTAACTCAGAATTAAACAGAGATATAGTTAAACTGGCTTTGTTCCACTTCTGTGACCATGGGAGCATGTAGATACGTTATATGATAACAGTTTATATCAGTAACACTGGATACTGGCAAAACTGTTATCTGTCCAACTCGCATCAGGGACTTTACAGCAGAGGAAACTACAAACCTTCCTTAAGTTTAGTGGCTGAGTGATGGATATGGCCACTCAACCACTTCCCTCACTTCCCCTTCCTATTTACAGAAACTGAATCACTGTGGAGCAGCTACAAGGGGATGTGAAGGAAGGGATTTGATATCAATGAAGTGCTGATCTCCTTCCATCCCAGGTGCTCAGGTTTTTATTCACTCAGTCCACAGATTTATATATGAATGTTCATTCTATGGCTTTCATCACCTTTTCTTACCTCTTGCTCCCTTATCCCTTGTCTTGTGTGCATGTGAGTAAATCTGGGTTCAGGAATTTAGTGGTGGAGCACTAGATCATGGGGATGCAAGCAATATTTTAGTTGACTCTACAGGCAGTTCTGTTAATATATAATTGTCACAACATAGATGGTTTGAACTAAGCTCAGACTAGGGGCACTTGTTACAGTTGTCCTCGGTGCTCTGGCGGTTCCAAGCATGTAATCTTTTGATAAAGTAAATACACGTAAAGTCTGTCATGGATGGGACACTCCTTTATGCCTTCTGTGTCTCCTCCGAAGGCTACAAAGATTTCTTAGTGAAAAGTCACTTACATTACTCCATTAATGGTGAAATCCATCATTTGGCAGGGTAACAGTGCTGCACTGTCTTCACCAAGGATGTTTTTCATGGCAATGTTTTGATTGAGGGCAGTTAATTTCCTTTCTTATATATGCACTTAGAAGTTGGAAAACTAAAATTAAACTTTGCATATAATAAAGGAGCTGAAATGTCATCACAGCAAAATGTGCTGCAATTAGTTATGTGCAATGAAATCACATGAACCTGAAGAGAGCAGGTTATGGATTTTCCAGACTGCAAATAACAGATCCCCATAAAGCATCCCTCATTTAAATTACACAAAAATCTGAGCAATGCACTAGACTGTGACTGAAATCCAAATCTGGCAGTTAATGTGCAGAGGCCCTTGAAATCTAATTTGACTATGATATGGAACAGTTGCGATTTACACGGGTCATTTTTTCTAAGACAACATGAAACTTTAGTTGATAGAATTTCCGTGACAGGAAACCACATCTGACACCACTGTTCTCACTTTCCTAAGGTTATTTGATTACCATGGTCGTGTACCACCGCCTCCTCGTGCAGTGATACCATTGAAACGTCCTCGTGTGGCTGTCACGGCAACTCGCAGAGGGAAAGGAGTTTTTTCCATGAAAGGGGGATCACGATCTACATCTAGTGGGGCTTCCACTTCAGGATCCAAATGTGAGTGAGTTACCTGTGAAACAATACCCTGGCTTTGATACGGGGGAACTCCTTATAACTGTTATAATGGTTGTTTCCATAGATAAGGATGCAAGCTGCTTCCATTGTAAACCCCTATTTTAGTTCCTGCCTGCCTCGACTTGGAAATTGAGCTTGCTTCAAAAATGGGCACACTTAACTCTGAATGCCAGAAAACACTTCTTCAGAGTTTGAAGGAAACTAAATTAATTGCATTTACATTAAAGTTCATTTAAAAATTACCCTCATTTGAAATGTTGATTTATTTCTATGCCATCTTACCCAAAAGAAGCTTGTTCAAACTTACCACATAATACCTCATGCTATATGTGAAGGAAATAGGTTGTAATTAAATGTTATTAATTATTTTGTTGTAGAAAGCTACAGTTTGATCTTTGTCCCACTGATTACTTTGGAAATGATGGGACCAATTCTGTTCTTTTTTATATCACTAGTATTTCTCACCAGACTTCAGTGGAAGCAGAAGAATCAATGCATGTAAATCTATCTTATTGGGCGCTCTGAAGAGGACACAGTAGGGTTGGGAGCTCAGTAAAGGAAGTTTGTAAGCTGTGCTCAGAGTAGGTAGCAGTAGTAGGCAACTGGTGAGCCTCTGGATCATGGTGTATACATGAAACATCTCATCAGATACCTGATGAATACATTTGTATAGAGTCCTGCAACCATCACACTAAGACTGTTGATGCATATACCCAGGCAAGAGTATGGAGAAGTAGAGGCTGCCCAAGAGCTACCATCCCCACTTCAGGCCACTTAGAATCCAAAGGCCCGACCAACTCCAGACATTCAGTGCCTCAATGGTTGTAGCTTCTGCCAGAGTAACATATAAGAACCGCTGCTGACTGCCTAATGCCTCAGCGAGGACATGTTTCTGTGAGGGTGATGTCCCTAAGCCGTTCTCCAGCTAAAGTCTACCCACAAGTCAGTGGGGGCTAGGATTTTGAGGTGCCCCATAAAAGGCAGACTTGTCCCACTCCCTCCTTATCAACCCCTTTGCAGTATTCCTAGGAAAATTCCCTTTCCTAGCCAGGTCCCTCAGCACCCATCTGAGAGATGACAGGAGGGGGGTAGGATGTAAGGATCCAGTGAGATCTGGGTAGCACTTGACAAGCTAGCTCTCAAGGGGAAACACAAAGCATAAAAAATAAGACTAGAAAATAAACTAAGAAAAGGATTATAAAAAAGACCTCTCCACAGATCACAACATAGTAGTCCTACCCTTTTGAATTGCCCCATTCCACCCTGACAGAAGTTGACAACATTTGCTGCTAGATGCGGGACCCAGAGTCTTGGAGGAAATACAGGGAATCCTCAGTGAGCAGGAGTGTTTCTAGTGGGGTCCACAGAGATTGTTTCTTGGTCTTATGCAGTTTAATGTTTTCATCATTGACCCAGAATAAAATATAAAATGTCTACTGATGAAGTTCCTTGGGTGAATCTGATATCTTTTATTAGACCAACCCAAATAGTTGGAAAATAATTATTAAGCAAGCTTTCGGGTTCAAAAACCCTTCGTCAGGCTAAGGAAGTTTCAGCAGTTGGTGTGTACTCTTCCTGGATGGAATGAAAAGTAAAGAAGCCAGCGGCTGGGCTGGTATGCATACGAGACAGGTAGTCAGTGAAAATGCAGATTGAGGAGTCAGTGGGTGAGAGACAGGCTGGGGAGGGGGGGAGAGAAAAGGGGGATGAAAGTGGACAGATACCTGGGGAGTCAGATGTCAGGCAGGTTATAATGTGTCATAAATCCAATGTCTATATTTAGTCCATGATTTTTAGTATCCAGGAGGTTGATGAAGTGGAGTTCATAGGCTCATCTCTGGGAAGTGTTTTGTAAGTTTCCTTTGAGGATCAGGACTGAGAGATTGGAGAGAGAGTGGTTTTCTTGTGAGAAATGTGTCCCCACAGGTAATTGGGTATTTCTGTCTTTGATAGATTTCCGGTGTGCGTTCATTCTGGTGCACAGTTGTTGTTTGGTCTCTCCTACGTATTTTTCATCAGGGCATTTGGTGCATTGGATGAGATATATTACATTTCTGGAGGTGCAGCTGTAAGATCCTGGGATGTTGATGGCTCTGTTGTGGGGTATAGTAATAGTGGGGGGTGGTGGAGATGTGTTGGCAGGTTTTGCATTTCTTGTCATAGCACGTGCCACTATTACTTAAATAACCTTAAATTGAACATGTGGCCAGTTGGGGTTGTTCTACTCAGCTGTGTGTCAGGATCCAGCATGGGGTAGCCCCAGGGTCCAGGACACAGCTGTCCCCTACACAATCGGGCTGCAAACAGGACCAGTCCTTGGACCCCAGACCCCTATTCAACTCCTGGAGGCAGATCCCCATGTGAAATGAGCCCAACATCAGGAAGCATCTCCCCAGTCTTGGACTCACTGCACCCCAGACCTTTAAAAACTGTGTATATCTCAGCTGCACACATGGTTTTCTGACATCTCTGGCACCTGCATACCTCAGGGATGTCAAAATTGAGTGTGCAGTCCAGCTGCACGTGCAGTTTTTAAAAGGTTCCACCAAGATCAGGGACAGGCTCCCCAAACCTGGGTACCCTGTGGCCAGGGATGAGTATAAAGCTGTTTAGTGCTCAGCTGGGCAGCACAAATGACTCTACTCATCCCCTGGCACAGAGACTCTGGGACTGGGCTGTTGAAGCCCAGTCCTGGGGTCCCCGTACACTGAGACCTGTAAAACCCTGATGTGCTGCCCACATGAGGGCAGCACATGGTCATTTTTATAAATCCCAGCATGTGAGGACCCTGGGATCAGGCTGCAGCAGCCTGATCCTGGAGTCCCTGTGCCCAGGGTTCAGTAAAAACCATGTGTCTGCCCCCGCTGGGGTTTTGACCATCAAGTTGTTCTTGGCTGCAACTGGGGACTAGACTAGAATCAGTTCCAGATCCCAGTTCAGTCCCCAGCCCCAACTAACAGTCAGAAGATTGTGGGCACCTGGGTTTCAACTTGTTGGTGCAAGGGGAGCCTGGGGTCATGATCTGGGCAAGTAAAATGCAATTGGGAACTAATCCACAATCTCAAAATCACGTATCCTGCCTCGCATGTGTGTGGCAAGACAAGAGGTAAATTTGTTGGGATCAAATTAGATACCATCAGGCCTTAATATGAATGTCTGTCAGGGGCCTAAAAGTGCACTGTTTTGCTTATCAAAAAAAAAGGTGAAGTTGCTTGTTCATAAACTGTAAATGACTACTTGATGAAGAAAACATTGATGGTAGTCTCTTCACTCTAGCAGACAAACACATAACATGAACCAGTTGCTAGAAGCTGATACTACATGAATTCAGATTAGATACAAGTGACAAATCTTTAAGTGATGGTAATTAATCATTGAAAATTTTACCCAAGATTGTGGACATTCCATCACAAATACCTTTTAAGAAAAGGTTGGATAGTAGAAAGGTTTTAAGAAAAGGTTTCTGTAGTAGTAGAAGTAATAGTTAGATTTAGAAAGATATGCTCTAGTTTTAAAAGAATTAAGTCAGAGAATTCCAACAGCCTGTGTTGTCACAAAGGTCCTTTATGCCCTTATTATCAATTAATAACTTTCTTACCTTGTGGTGGTTTTTTGTGTAAAAGCATAAACAGTCTAGGTCAGGGTACACCCAGTCTTCCCCAGCACATATATGGACAGGACCATTGAACACAGGAGAATACCAGTCATATGAATAGCAAAAAATATATTCAGCAGACTTTAGACCTTGTTCAGTAAAATCAGAGGGTACCAAACCACAGACTTTTGATGTGGGTAGTGGAATAATTGAACTGGCTATGTGAGGACACTGTGAAGTGGTGGATGGAGAGAACAGAGACTTCACAAACTTAACCTCCATACTGTCCATTCTTGATTGCTCAAATGCATACGACTCAGCAGTGTTGCTCACTGTGAAACTGCTGTTCAGTTGATGCTTCTTAGGACTCTCATCCCCACTGCCATTGTAATATCCAGAATTATTCTTATGAGCAGATTCCTATAGAGAATCTCACCTCCAGTGTCTGATATATTAGTCATGAAGTTTTTACGGACATTTAGTGCATGTCTGAAACTCTCCCTTTTTCCGCTGTGCTCCCTTAAGGAAGCCTACAAACAGGGTTGAAGGATTTCCTCATTTGCATCTTCCCCTTTAAACATTTCCCCTTTGTGGTACCACTCTATTTTTATTTCCTCAGTGCCTTTTTCAATATATCGAGACTCCTAATATCAATTTAGAATGACAGCACATGCCTCAAGATGTTCTATTTCACTTCAGCAGTGTTTAGAATCTATTTTAACCTCTCTTTTCCAGCCTCTGAAGCTGAGGTTTTTCCCATAGCAAATCAAAGAACTAGAGTGGCTGCAGATTCACCCAGCACATCTTCCCTAGTGCCTTTTGCTATTTCTTTTGTATTATTAATTATGAAAAGTTAGTAGGGTAGGGGCATGCAATTCATTACCTGTTTGTACACCTCGTCTGATAGAAATGAGCTTCTTGAGATTTGCCTTGAGAGGATAAACTTCTTCAGTGGAGTTTTTGTTTTTCATATTGATTTTTGACAATGTCAATTAGAACAGGCTTACCTAGAAACATGGTGTTGTGATTACATTTTAGAGAACCGAGAAGCTTAGCATGTCCCCATAGATTGAGAAACTTCCTTACCATAAATATGGATTCTCATTGTAATGCATGTGGCACAGTCTTTGCCATTAAGATCATAATGTCTGCTGCTTAGAAGTTTTAGTAGCACAGAATTTGCTGTATGCTTCATTCTGAGTATCAGAACATTTGCTCTGTGGCAAATGTCAATATTTTAATAGCTGTCAGTGTAGACTGAGGCACCCAAGTGTTGTGCAGTTCTGGACCAGGAGCTGAAGGGTCATGTCATACATATGAAGTGAAGCAGATTGAAGAACCCTCATATTTTTAATAGAGAAATGGAAAAAATAGATAACTAAATATG